CAAGTATCAATGCTATCTGCTGTGTACACAGGGTAGATAGGGATGAGCAACTTAGACATTGGCTACCTAAAATGAGGGGGCAATAAAGGCACGAAGTGACTGCCTTACAAGGTTTCAAGAGGGAGTTTAGTTTAAGAGTGTGGGGGGAAGAAAGAGTCCTCACTGTATAGTTGTCATCTTGTCTAGAAGGGTCTGGTGTAAAGAGATGGGGATAAGATTCGTAAGATTCAATAGTGAATAACTGTTATCATGACTAATCGCAACTTCACAATTGTAAAGGTAGAAGTTTTGTAACAAAAAAGGGAGTGGTTAATCTTACAGTCCAGAAACAGAGGACCCTAGGACCATCAAGAGAGAAGCCCACAGGCAGATTGCGGGACCTTATCCAGAGAAGCAGCAGGGCCAGAGATGGAGGCAGAGATGGGGGCATGGAGAGGGGGAGCTGCTGAGAACTCTAGATTCATGGACTAAGAAGAGAAGGACTAAGAGCTGGTGGCCAGGAGCAGACTTGCAGAATGTGCCCTTTGGAGATGTAAATTATTATATATGCCTGAGTGGGTTTTTTTTGTTTGTCGATTGTTTTTTTTAAAAAGCTAGAGTGGATATAGAGAAATACTGTTAACTGATGGTACATGGAGGGGATTATAATCAATGTAATGAAACACGGTATATGATTTGTTGAATATAAAACTGATGATATGTCCTGTAAACTTTCACTCAATCCACAATAAAAACCTTAAAAAATAAAGTGGGAAAAACCTTTTTTTAAACTGATGAAAGCTGAGAGAATTTTACATACGTGCAGAAAGAACACATAACTATAACAACAGCATATGCGTAGGAGGGAGAAAGGCAGTGTTGAAGTGTTCTAAGAGTTTCACCTTGTCTGGAAAGGGAATTAGCGTTGTTATTGTTGTTTAGCGCTGTTGGGTCAATTCTGCCTCATGGCAATCCTGCATAGGGTTTCCAAGGAGTGGTTGGTGGTTTGAACCCCCAAACTTGTGGTTCAGTGTTTAACCACACCAGGACTCCATCAGACTCTGATAAGTTACAGATACATAAACATTTTTTACGGCAGTCACTAAAACTAATTCTTCAGAAGAAAGAGGTGGTAGTCTGCTTCCGTAAATATGGTTGTTAAGTGTCATGGAGTTGTTTCCAACTCATAGTGGCCCTGTATAGGGTTTCCTAGGAGAGAGAGCCTGGTGAGCTTGAACCGCTGATGCTGTGGTTCAAACTGACCTTGCAGTCCAGCACATTAACTCACAGTGCCACACCAGGACTCCTCCATAAAGATTACAGCCTTGGAAATTCTCTGGTGCAGTTCTCCTCTGTCCTATGGGGTCGCTATTAGTTGAAATGGACTCAGTGGCAATGGAATTGGTTTGGGTTTAAGTTGTTGTTAAGTGCTGTCAGGTCAGTTCCAACTCACAATGACACTGTACAGGGGTTTCTGAGAAGCTGCTGGTGGTTTGAACTGTTGATCTTGTGGTTTGCAGTCCTGTGCTGATCCTACAGTGCCAACACCAGGAGTTCTCCACTATATATGAGTATTAGATACCATTTCTGCCTATTGGGAGAAATAGCAAAGTAACGATTATATATGCTGGGTGTGTGCTGTCCAGTTGTTTCTGACTCATAACAACACTGCATAAGGTTTCCAAAGCTGTAAATCTTTAGGGGAAAGGGCCTCAGCTTTCTCCTAAGGAGTGGCTGGTGAATGTGACTGCTGACCCTAGCATTAGCAGCCTAATTTGTAACCCATTATGCTATCAGAGCTCCTAGAGATTACGTATGTTGTTGTGGTTAAGTGCTGTTGAATCGGTTCTGACTCAAAGTGACCCTGTACCGTGTTTCCAAGGCTGTGAATCTTTGTGAGAGCAGAAAGCCTCATTTTTAGCCTGAAAATTTATATATAGGTTTGATTAAAAACAAATAACCCCTTCTAAGACTGAGACTCAAGAGGAGTACACGAGCAGGCATGTGGTCTGGCTGGTGACTACATTGGTCACCGATGAGGCGAAGAGGGGGAAAAACAGCAATGAAGTTGGGAGCTAAGTCTGACCACATTCAATAGACTCCTCTGAACATGGGTGGAGACCTGGTTGGCCAGCAGTATGGCAAGACCAGGGGACTCCTGGGTCCAGAGGCAATGACATGGCCACAGAGGACTAGAGCAGAGAGTGAAGCATCCAGTTGATGTGAAGTGAGGGGAGATGCACAAGAACACCCATACGTGTAGATAGTACCCATTTGACTGGGCTTCAACGGTTGGATGATCAGAACTTGAATAGAAAAAGAAAGAGGAAAAAAAGAGACACCTGCTACAATTTGATGAACTTTGCCTATGCTTATGGATGTAGTAACTTATAAAAGGAAACAAATCTTTACAACGAGGATCACTCCCATCCCCTCGGTACACAGGATTGACAGGTTAGGCAACTTAAGACATTGGCTACCCAAAATAGGCGTGGCTACAAAGCCAAGAAGTGACTGGCTTACAAGCTTTCAAGAGGGAGCCTAGTTCCAGATGGGGTGGGGGAAGGTAGAATCTCTACTGATTGGTTTCCAATCTGTCTGGATGGGGCTAATGAAAGGACATGGGGATAAGACTCTTGTGGTAAAATAGTGAATAATTACTATGAGGACTGACTATGAGGATTGGAAATGTAAAGGTAGATATTTTGTAACAAAAAGTAGGGGAGTGACTGATTTTGCAGTCCAGGAGCTGAGGTCCCTGTGACCATCAAGTGAGAAGAGCATAGTGTGGGACCCTACCCAGAGAAGCAGTGACACCAGAAATGGAGGCAGAGATGATGACGTGGGCAGATGGAGTGGCTGGGGGCAATGGACTCAAGGAGGGAGAGGGTCTGTGTGCTGATGACCGGGGGATAGGCCTGAGGGGTGTACCCTTTGGTTGTTTGATGATGCATGGAGGGGATTGTAGTCATTGCAATGAAACCAAATACAATAGGATGAATGTAAAACCGATGTTCTCACATAATTCACAATAAAAACTTAAAACAAAACAAAAAAACAAACGAATAAACCTGGAATGATTACATCAGAAATATGGTATTATATATCAATACTACCTGGCTTTGGAGGGAAATACTCTTCCAAAAGTCTTTCGAATCCACAAATACAAGAACTTTCTGGCCATGCATCTGAATGAAGGAAAAGAAACGATATGTATTTTTAAAACTCCAACCAGCTTGTGTCATCAGTCTTTTGAAAAGGAGAAGGAATCTTTTAAGGTTCCAGAGGGAAGGAAGCTAGCATGAGTCAAAAGATGACATTATAGCTAATCTCCCCTCAAAGAGAGAACAGGATGGGCCAATGTATAAAGCTTTTAGATTGTGAAAAACATATTTCCAATATAAACCATTTTGTTAATGTTGTGAGCCTCTGAAAATAAGAGCATGCTTTACAGCCTCCCTAGAACCTAGCACGGTGCTTGGTACACATAAAACAAAAAAAAGCACTTATCTGGGGTCAGCCTGGAACATTTCCTCCTGCCCTTACCTGGCTTACTCTTACAAAGCCTTTGGGACTTCAGTTAGACTGCCCCTTCCAGAAAGTCACCATGTGCTATACACACCATGTGTATATTATATATATAGTTTGGCTGCTCTTGTCATCTGTGCTGGTGACGCCACATTCTTCTCCTCACATAGCACTTAGCACTGTTCACACTTTACTGTGGCATGTAAAATGGCCTGTCAACCCTGCCTGCTTTTAAACGCTTATGAGATCATGAATCAGAAACATCTAATTTACCTTGCATGCTCAAAGACTAGTCCAACACCTGATAAGCAATAATGTTTTTTGAATGAATAAATTATGTCTTCAATATACCTAATCAGTAGTAGAAAATGATCATTATTTTCCTGGAAACATGTTTAACTTTCTTCTGGGAGAATCTTTATAGCTTACATATTGTAGGGCACAAACTGGGACCATGAACATAGCAAACATTCAAAGGCATATTTCACATCTGCAAAGTCTTAAAAAGATCTTATCTCAGCATTCTTCTACACAGAACAGGTATCAAGGTTTCCTGAGCTAGGAGAATCAAGAATCATCCCCTCAGGAGGGTGGAATGGAAACAGAACCACAGAAAGGAAGTGAAATAACTGTTGTTGCATGGAGTGGATTGCAACCATTGAGATGAAACAAAGTGGAAGAGTTGCTGAATGTAAAATTGATGATCTTCTCTGTAAACCTTTACTTAGTTGACAATAAAATTTTTTAAAAAAAAAATCAGCCCAAAAAAAGGAGACTTTAACCAAAAAAAGGAGAACCATGAAAAAGTCACCTTAGGCACTGACCTGAGACGTAATTCTTTTAACCGCCTCCTCCGGGTCCAGGTGGAGGAGGCATGGTGTTGGGGTTGCACTGGATGACTGGCGTTAGGTAACTGACTCCGGACCTCGGGGAAGGTGGAAGACTTCTTGTTGGACAGCATCTTTACAGAATGAGGTTTCTTAACAGCACCATCTCTAAAAGATCTGAAGTTTGAGGATTAAAGGGGAAAGGAGAGAATCAAATTATCCCTGCATATGATGGAAATATATATAGATAAGAAACTTGTTTCTAGTTTGTAAATATATGTGTATTATACATATATATATATATATATATAAAATCAACATGTATATTTATAATACATACAAACACACACACACATATATATCTACAAACTAGAAACAAGTTATATATATATATACGTTATTATTGTTAATTGTTAAGTACCACGGAGTCAGTTCCGACTCATAGTGACACTGCACAGGGTTTCTGAGTCTGTAAATCTTTACAGGAGCAGAACACTTCTTCTTTCTCCTGTAGTTTCAAACTGCTGACCTTGAGATTGGCAGCCCGACTCGTAACCACTACGCTACCAGAGCACATATATATAGTAGTCCTGGTGTAGTGCTGTGGGATGATGGTGGTTCAAATTCACCAGCTGCTCCTTGGAAACCCTATACGAGGTTGCTCTGAGTCCAAACTGATTCAACAGTCCTGGTGTGGCACTGTGAGTTAATGTACCAGACTGCAAAGCCGTTTGAACTGCAAAGGTCGGCAGTTCAAACTCACCAGCTGCTCCTTGGAAACCCTAAACAGGGTTGCTATGGGTTGGAACTAACTCGACAGCACTAACAACAACAACATATATATATATTTAGGAAAGATTTTCAAAAAATGTTATCTTTATGTTGATATGAAACCACACACTTTATATACTAAAGACTGTATTTGTGAGCTTTCCTGCAACCTCAAAAAAAATTACAAGATTACCTTTTACACTTGTTAAGTGTTGCTGAGTCAGTTCCCACTCATAGCTACCCAGTACAAGATTTCTGAGAAGCAGCTGGTGGGTTTGAACTGAATCCAGTACTTGATCTATAGTGCTACACCAGGACTTCCACAATTAGGGAAGGAAAAGGTAGAGGCAGAACCCTGCGGTGTTAGACTGGAGTTATCGGTATGAACTCATAATTTTAATATATACCAGAGACTTCAAAAATCCCATTTGTCCACAAACTTTCTGAATCCACTCCCCCACCCCTATATGCAATTGCACACTAATGTTCATAGCGAGATTACTCAAAATAGCCATAGTCAAAAGATGGAAACAACTGAAGTGTCTATCAATAAATGAAAGAATGAACAACACGTGTCATTATGATACAATGGAATATGCTTCAGGCATAAAGATAGATGAAGTTCTGATACATGCTATGACACGGATGAACCAGGAAAGCACAATGCTGAGTGACTAAGTCACACCCACAAGGACAAACACTCCATAGCCCCACTTAGGTGCAATACTTAGAATAAACAAATGCACAGCCAGAAGTTTATTAGTGGTTACCAGGGGCTAGGAGAGAGGAAAATGGGAGTAAATTAATCAAGGGCTACTGAGTTTCTTTTTTAGAAATCTTTAAAATATTTACAAATTAGTAAAAAGTAAATAAAATCTTTTAAATTTATTTTAAAAGTTTTTATTGTGAATTGAGTGATAGTTTACATGGGAGAGCATCAGCTTTACATTCACCCTATAGTATTTAGCTTCATTGCAATGATTACAATCACCTCCACGCATCATCATTCCACAGCACTTGCCTCCAATCCCTCTGGTTTTTTTTTTTTTTTTTGAGGGGATGGGGATGTACACCAAAGCACTCAGGAATATATACCCATTCAAACAACCTGCACACCAGCCCTGAGTTTCTATTGAAAAGGATGGAAAACAGAGTAGAAATTGTGAATACAATTAAATCAGTGAATTGTACTTAAAAGTGATTAAAGTGGCAATTTTTTTGTTATATGTACTTTACCACAACACAAAATGTTAATTTCTACAATGATACACAATATTTTATCATCACTTTGAAAAGCAAAATCATGAAATTTTCAATACCCATAGCTTTAAGGTTTTTAGAATCTTAATTAACTTTTTTAATATTAAACTTCATATTGACCTGGCAGTCATATAAAAATGAAAAATTTAAATATGAGGTTGTACTATATGCTACAACATAAAACATAAAACGTTATGCTAAGCGCAGCCAGACGCAAAAGGACAAGTTTTGTATAATTTCACTTAGATGTAATATCTTTGTTGTTAAGAGCCATTGAGAAAGTTCAGACTCACAGCACCCCTATGTATGGTTTCTGAGGAGCAGCTTCTGGGTTTGAACCGCTAGCCTTGCAGTTAGTAGTCCAGTGCTTATCCTACAGCACCACACCAGGACTCCAATGACATCAGTCAGACACAAGGAGAGACATTTTACAAGATTTCATTTAGATGAAATTTCTAGGGTAGGAAAATTCATACAGCATGAAAAGAGATTAGAGGCGACCAGCAGACAGGGGCAGGGGGAAGCCAGGAGTTACTACTCTGTGTGTACAGAGTTCCCATGTGGGGTGATGAAAATGTCATTAGTATCCACGGAACAACATCAAAATGCAGTTAATGCCACCAAATGATATACTTAAAAAGTGTTAAATTGGCAAATTTTGTTATACATATTTTATAATAAAACATTTTAATAATAAGTAAATTTAGAGCAGCCAGGCAGCATTAAGGTATTAACTCTTAGCCAAAGTAACCATTGCTAAACACTTCTGGTCAAATTCAAAATTTTAATGATGAATATTGCAGTGGCTGCAACTAAGGGCTTCAATGTAGCAATGATTGTCAGGATGGTACAGAACCGAGCCAGTTTGACCTCTATTTCTTCACTCAAAAACCATTTTTGAGAAAACAAACAAGATGGAGGATCAGGTGGAAGTGCAGTGAGGAGCTCCGTCAGCAACAACACATTATACCCGACCAAACAGGCTCAGGGGATGGTCCCAGAACTCTGAACCACATATAAAGGAATATTTAGAAGGTTGGAAGGCTTACAGCTGGGGGAATTTGTGGCAGAAGCAAGAAATCCATTGCTTTCTAGTTCGGGACGCTCAACTGCTCCAGGAGCTGCCATCTTGGGTGAGACCAAGCGGGGGAAGCATGGGAGCGGCCACAAACGCCTGGCAGAACCACAGAGATAAAGGTGTGGACATTCTTTTCTTTTGATTATCTGTTCATTGGTCCCTTGCTTTCTGAGCACCTCCATTCTGGGCCTAAGCTAGTGGACACCTCAGCCCCATCCTCGGAGTGTTCTACTACACATATGCACAGATCTCAAAATTTAAAGAGACAGTTTCCAATTAAAACCAATGGCCACAGCCGGCCCTGAACTGTTTCCAACTAGAAAAAAGGCCTGAACGGGGATTGTGGAGGGGACAGGCAGACAAAAAAGGAAATAGGCCGAAAATTAAATCCTAAATTACGTCAAAACGACCAATAGTGGCATCTTGAAACTTCTCAAGAACAAGAGTGAAAAGGGAAGCCCATTTCCTGATCACATCTACCTGGAGGCATTCAGAAAGCATAAAAAATACCAAGTTATATACCCATCTAAGTATTAGGACCACAGATAACCCCTGAATATGCCCAAAAAAACAGAAGCAAATGACCATATCTGCACATGTCCAGAAACAAGATAAACTGACTGAGGTAAATGAGCTGGAAGTAGACCTACATTCCATACTGGAAGATGGGCAGGCATTGGAAATGCCAGAGAAGGAATTCAGAAAAATGATTATAAAATGTATCAAAACACTATACAATGGAGTTGAGAAAAATAAGGAAAAAGTCAGGAAAGTGCTACAGGAACAATCAAATAAGATAAATACATGACAGGAAACAATTCAAAATCTACAGAAAGAAGTCCAAATGATTAATGAGAGAATATCAGAAATGGACAATACACTGAAAGGGCAAAGGAGTAGAATTGAAGAGCTAGAAGCCAGAACTAGTGAGATAGAAGATAAATCTCTCAACACTACTAAGATAGAAGAACAAACACAAAAAAGCATACAAAATCTGAAGAAGGCCTAAGATTCATGTTGGATAACATGAAGAGAAATAATATACGAATTATTGGCATTCCAGAACAAGAACAATCACACAGGTCCACAGAGGAGATAGTTGAAGAGCTTCTGGAAGAAAATTTTCCTAACATC